GTGTTGTACAGTCTGATTGCTGTGGGGAGGAACGACCTACGGTAACGCTCCTTCTTACACTGGGGATGTAACAGTCTGGTGCTAAACGAACTGTTCAGAGGCTCCACTGTGTGTTGCAGGGGATGGGAGGGGTTATGTATGATGGATGTTAGTTTTACCAGCATCCTTCTGTCCGCCACCTCCTTGATGGAATCCAGGGGGCAGCCCAGGACAGACCCAGCTCTCTTGACCAGCCTGTTAAGTCTCTCTCTGTCCCTGTCCGTGCTATAACGGGGCAGTTTTATCATACCTGGAATGAAACCAGGTTACCAGGCATCAGGCAACCTACAGTCTCTGTCAGCCATCCTGGCTGACAAGCAGAACATACTGTAAATACAAAGACTGTCCAGTGTCACCAGTTACTTTCTTGTAGTGACTGGCAGGCCAGTCCACCAATCAGCTGTCACCTCACAACATCAGGTTGGTATGACAACAGGTTATATGGTTGACTCAGCATGCCTTCCAGCGCCTCAAGACAGTTTCCCAGGATGCACCTCTCCTCCTGTCGCAGAGACTTGACCACATCCAGCTGCTCCCTGACTGACTGGTCACACTGCTGCAGGAGGTGGGAGATCTACACAGAGCGCACAGGAAAATAAATCAGGATGTGTTGCATCATGGGAAAATACTCTGGTACTTTGTGGTGTCTGCACACAGACCTTTTCCAGAGCTCCGTGTGTGTCTTGTAGTAGTCGCTGACAGAGAGTTCCAGCTGTCTGGATGCTCCACTTCTCCCTCTCTTCACACACCGCCTGGCCGAGCAACACTGCCTTCCAGTGGTGACTACACACATACACAAACACACATCCCATAATTCATGTATACCCATTTACACACTGCAGAACTTACCCTTTATGTAAAGCATTTCTGGACGTGAATGAATGTGTGTGAGGACTTACTATAGCGTTTGTGGCAGAGACAACAGTCTGAGAGCCGTCATCAGCCTCCAGCTGGGCCCTTCGCTGGATACTGTCAGGTTACTGAAAGGGACAAGGAGTGGAAGTGAGAAGGAAAACGCTCGAGTGATTTTACACATACAGTTTTAGATTTTTATTTATTAGATTTATTTTTTTAGACTTATGATTTTATTACAGTTTTTCTGAATTACTAAAACAATAAACCCCATTCTCTGAACCAAATTCTCAATAGCCTAAACCAATTTGCCAAATAAATCACTCTTTCTGCAAAACCTTAAACAAGTTCAGCCACTTAGACTCTGTTTGCAAATCTCATGCACTCTTTTTGCTAAACTCTAAACACATTCTCACAATTCACACTGTGATAAACTTGTGTTGCAAAACACTAAACAGAGGACAGCAGAACGTAAACACAACTAAAGCACAGTTGTCATCGTTTACACACAATGATTCAAAATTGTTCACACTTGTTTCTAATTATGTGATGAGAAGGTACAAATCATAAG